AGCACCAAAAATGGGCCGACAAAGAGTACTGCTGGGAGATCAGTACGGCACAGCAGCACCTCACAGTCCACCACTGACAACTGACTCTGACAGCTCAGAGTCGACGGTAATCCGCTGCCGGTGCTGCTGCCACTACCGCCGAATCCTATAGCTCTCCTCCCCTCTCTGCCTGCTGAAACCTCGTAAACGATTTATTTACACCACCAAACTGCCTTCCCAACGGCCACTAATGGCCAACTGTTCCTGAAACACAGTTACACCACATCGTGAGGTGTGTAATGTGTGCGCGCTGCATTGTTTGCTTGCAGTGTTGTTCTCCTTGTGTTGGCCATCAGTATCCCCGCTATAGTCTCTCTGTGCTGACATCGCACATTGACGACGACTTGGGTAAATGTTCCCATTTTCTTTCCTTCTCTTTCACTCTCTTCAATTCGAGTCACACCGTTTTGCCTGTCATAATAATGCTACCCTATAACTCCTGGAAGTTGGTTCAACATGCACACACATACACAACTCGTCCCCAACTTCCTTCACCTTGCAGTTTCAGCTTCAGTGCGTTCCCGGCGTTCCCAGTTTGACAGGGACAGAAATATGTCGTCAAAATCAGAAAGAACGCTTGCACTTTGGTTTTCAATGTCGAACGAAAGTGATCGGTGTTTGGTAGTGATGGTGACAACTGACAAATAAAAAGGTGACAGCAGTCGACCACTGGCTGAAGGTAAAAGCAGCAGCTGCTATAGCATTTATGTTACTTCTGTTTTTTGTGCGTGTTGCTTTAGGTGCCACAACATGAATACTAACAAATCAAATCAAATCGATTGATTTTGATTTGATTTGCAGTGCAGCGTGCTAATTGCCTGACAGACACTGTTTGGCGACAGGCACGACACACCAAAGCTAGGATCACTGTCAAAAGGAAAGTGAAAGTGATCCTGTTCTCCTTTTTTGAATGTTTAGCAAGCACACACTTTCACTGTTTCCACCAGTGGCAGTTGTTGATCAACAGATTTTCAGCTTTTTACTGCAGCAGTGCTGATGATGCTGGTGATGATGGTGCTGTCTGACTGTTTGTCTGTCTATATTTGTCTGTGTTTGTCTGCGTCTGCTTTCAGTATCAGTATCTTTTTTGTGGTGGTGATGCCAGTGACTTCAGTGGCAGTATTTTTATATATTTACACAGTCAATTGTTGTTAATTGAAGGAAATTATCGCGAAACCGTTGTTACATCTTGTTGTGCTCAGCTTTTTTACTGTTAGTTGTAGTAGTGGCAGCAGTATTCATTTGCGTCCAGCAGCATCGTTTCTTACTGTTCAAAGATTGCAACAGTGCCATAAGCTCTCCTGATGACTTCAGCTCTGATGTGTCTTGTAGATTCGAATCAAGTTCTGTACTGTGTTCGCAGTCTTCTCCGTCTCTGTGTTTGTTGTTTGTCAAAAGTGACAGGCTGTTTAGCTTTTTGTTGGCTGCTGCTGCTGTTGCCGCTGCTTGTTCTTCAATCTTTGGTGCTCTCACTAGTCCAATCTAGTCAGTTTGTGTGCCCACTACATCGTTCTTTCTCTCTTTCCCTTACTTTCGGCACTGCAAATCGTTGATTTACAAAAGACAGAAGCAAGTTGGAAAGTTGTTGCCACATGTAACGGCGCCAGTTGAAGCAGCAGCAGCATTGCTTTCCATTGACTAGTGCACTGCACCAACGTGGCAACTCCTCATCATCGTCCCTCGTCGTCTGTCAATTAATCTGCCGCAGAAGAGAAGCAGCAGCAGCTTCAGTTAGAAGAGACACAGGCCTACACACAATGAAGGAGAGAGAAGAATCAACCTTCCTCCAATCTTTGCCTGTATCGATTGCAGTCAATCGAGCAAGGAAACAGTCATTTAGTCAGTCTTCTTTGTCGGCGGCTTCTTTTCTTTGTCTAATTGTTCAGCAGTGAGTGTCGGTTTTTTAAAACAAAAAATGGCTTTAATATTCAGCAGCAGTTGGTAAATGAGAAGGACATCGGTTCACTGGTCTGTTTACACCAAAACGCTCATGTCCGCTCATGACCACAACAGCAGCGGCTGTGGTCAGTGCTGCTACTGCAGCCATTTGGGTGCTCGTTTTGCCATTTGACCGCAATTATTAAATATGATATGTGCGACGTGGCAAAACGGAGATATCCCTGTGCACTGTCATCTGCCCCTACTGCTGTCTCTCCATTGCACATTGTTATTAGCGATTTAGTGGTAGTGCTGGTGATGATGATGATGATGTGCGATCGTCGAACGGGGTCACTGGCAGAGAAGGAAAGAGACTGTGAGTGAAAGACTGAAGACAGGCAGAAGGATCAGTGAGGCTACTAATTGCACATGTCAGAGGGCAACCACTGAATGAGAAGGAGAAGGAGAAGTGCCATGTTCTTCGACTTGACACTTCGCCCTCGTCGTCGTCGGCGGCGATCGATCGTTGCCAGTGCTCGCAAAGTGGTGCTCGCCCTGGCTCGCTCGCGCGCATCTGCCACCAGTATCTGTCATCGGCTTCTGTGTATGTGTGCTTGTGTGTATGAGCTTGTGCTGGTCGTCGTCGTCGTCGTCGTCGGTCGTTGTCGATTTTGTCTGCTCAAGTACAGGCACAGTTTGAACATTGACATTGAACTTGTGCTCGCTGCCTGCTTCACTGTCATCAAAACCATCTCTATTTTTGGTGTTCATATGGTTGTTGCTGGAGATGATCAGCGGCAGCGGCATTCGGATATTCACTTTGACACTTCCACTTCCAACTCGATGGCGGATGTTGAGAGAGGTAAAAAAATTGAAGTAGAATCTGCAAGATGAAATGGACAAAAGTCCACCCTAATTGATGATCGATTACTACCTTTTGTTTTCAATACTACAACACCCAATTGCTTGTGTTGTTGACTACTTCTGTTGACTTGATTTTAACCAAATGGAAAAATGTGGCAAAAATGACTATTTATAGTCGGCTTATAATTGACTTGGCAATAGGCTGGAAACAAAAACTGACTGGCAATAAATCAGTGTTGCCGCTCTCCTGGTGATAAATACCACTGATCACTAATGCGCTCAACCAATATTGAAGAGGAGAAAGACGTTTTAAATGCCTTGCATTCAATTGAGAAGCATCATGCTAGGCGTTATTAGGTATTTGAAAGAAGTGCANCTGACTTGGCAATAGGCTGGAAACAACAACTGACTGGCAATAAATCAGTGTTGCCGCTCTCCTGGTGATAAATACCACTGATCAGTAATGCGTTCAACCAATATTGAAGAGGAGAAAGACGTTTTAAATGCCTTGCATTCAATTGAGAAGCATCATGCTAGGCGTTATTAGGTATTTGAAAGAAGTGCATCAGGCAAAATGCTCGCTTTTTCTCACTATATTGATGACGGTGGCAAGAATGAATTATCACCGTGTAATGCAAGCACTACTGCCACTGACGCCTAAAGTCAATTATGAAGACGGCACAAGTTGCCAATCAATCGAAAACATGCACACACACAGCAATTGCAGTGAAAGAGCAAAAGAGAAAAGGAGTTGTCCAAACTGCAGCATACTCTTCACCACTTGAACTCACAGCACTCTCAACTTTGCTGAAAAGTTGCTGTGGCTTTTTTTCCACTAATTGCCACTTTTCTGTTTACATTAGCATTTTAATTAGAGCACACATGCACACACAGACATATAAACAGGCACCGACAAATCTATGATTAAACTGGGCGCCATCATTTTCACTGGCTGCCAACAGAGATGCGGTGGCAAGAGTAAAAAGCGGGAAAAAGAAAAGGAGCATCTTCATCTTCATAGGCTCGCGTCGGCACCACATAACTTGCGTCACAAACACACACACACACATACATACCAAAACACTTAGAGCACTTCTTAGGAAACACACAACTACTGTTTGCAGTAATCAGTGCAGAAAAGTTTTTCATCATCTTCTTCATCGGGACACCACTGAAATCCTGAAATAGCAAAGAGAAAGAACAAATTCAGTGCTCTCTCACTCGCACCACTTTAGACCGCTTTCATTGGCTGTGCACAGTGGTCGTCACCACCTCCTCAGCGACGTCGATCCCGCCTAGTGTTCTCTCCTGACCACTGATGCTCCTCGAGGGCGGGCACACTTGGAGTTCGTTCAGCTTGGCAGTAGTGTGTGCAGACAATGCAGCAACAGCAGCAGGAGCAGCAGGCAAATGGTGCCATTGTGCACCTTCAGTGGACTGTAGCAGTGTGTGTGTGTGCACTGGCTGGCTTGTCAATATTTGGGCTCACTTTACGCCATTTGCTTAGACTTGATTAGTGTCTTGTTGTCGCTGCTGTCCTCTTCTGATGGCAAACGTTTCCACCTACTTTCACCAGGCAGCACCGTCAGCGGCTGACAGTGTGCAGGCAAACAGTGGGACGCTTTGTTTGTGTTTGTGTACGCTGCAGTCTGACTTGCTGCAGTCGAACACAACTGCACCAACCACCACTGCTATTCGTCGCGATTCAATCAGTCGCCGTTTGGACGTTGCAGGGGCTGCTACCACTGCTGATCTTTCGCCAATCGAATAAGTTGACAAGTGTGCCCGTTTAGCGCACCATCTTCCACTACTTCTTCTTCTTTGTCACATTCATCCTATCAACTCAAACTCTTTTCAGTTGTTTATTTGTTTGTTTGTTGGTGCATTTTCACAGCATTTCGCCGATTCTACCTCGTGATAAGCCCGCATTCCTTCTCCAGTTAAACTGCACATCACCTCCACAAAAAATGATGTTGCCACCTAATCGAACAGTAAGCCACTCACACAGCAAGAGTAGCGCCTTCTCTATCAGCAGCATCATCGCCAGTGATGAGCCCAAGGTGGTGATGGTGGAGGACGTGGTCGGCGGCAAAGCCGGTGCTGAGAAGTGGCTCACCGGTGATGAGCCGTTCAATGTTTCAGGAGCCGGCAGCTACTTCTCTGACGCCTCTTCGGAGGTCTACTCCTCGGACAGCTGCTGCTCAGAGGAGGACGTCGACATGGCCGACCAGGAGGAGGAGGGCGAGGACTTGAGCAAACCACTGGAGCTGGTGGCTGGAAGCAAGACTACGCAGCACAACTCCACCTCCAGCCTGCATACTTGCAAAAAACTACACAACGGAGCAAGTGAAGTGAACGGAAAGAGCGCAGACAACAGCTGCAAAACAACAACTTCAGAAAAGGAAAAGGAACACAATGCCAAGGAAAGCACCACCGATCTGAGCAAAAGCGCCAGTGGAGAAAAAAAGTCCTCAGATTCCAAAAGCTCAGAGAAAAGTGAAACGACCAAGGAGGGCAAAAAGAAGTTTGAAAAGCCGCCATTCAGCTACAATGCCCTCATCATGATGGCCATTCGCCAGAGCAAGGAGAAACGACTGACACTGAATGGAATCTACGAGGTAAGCATCCTACCAATTGCCTAAACTTATCACCTGATATTGAAATAACTAATCCACATTTCATTTCATTTCATTTCACTTATTTCAGTTCATCATGAAAAACTTTCCCTACTACCGCGAGAACAAGCAAGGCTGGCAGAACTCCATTCGCCACAACCTCAGTCTGAACAAGTGCTTCGTGAAGGTNTTTCATTTCATTTCACTCACTTCAGTTCATCATGAAAAACTTCCCCTACTACCGTGAGAACAAGCAAGGCTGGCAGAACTCCATTCGCCACAACCTCAGTCTGAACAAGTGCTTCGTGAAGGTGCCCCGACACTACGACGACCCCGGCAAGGGCAACTACTGGATGCTGGACCCATCCTCAGATGACGTCTTCATCGGCGGGTCGACGGGCAAGCTGCGTCGGCGGAACACCTCCACCTCGCGAAACCGACTGGCAGCCGCATTTCGCCGATCAGTGGTCGCCAACGCCGCCGGACACGTCGTCCACCCACTGTACGGTCACCCTCACCACCATCACCCTCACGCTCACGGCCACATGATGGGCGGTGCTGGAGGTCTGGCCGGCATGGCCGCCTTTGCACAGCCAGGGCATCCTGTTTTTTCGGCAGGAGCAAATGCCGCCGCCGCAGCGCTCTTTCCGCCCACCGCCTCAGCAGCCCTGGCCAACGCCAATCACCCACTGCATTCGTGGTTCTACACCAATCCAGCGACGGCGGCAGCGGCGGCCGCTGCGGCTGCTGCCTACGCCTCGCAGGCAAACAGCGCCGCTTTTCAGTTCCACCAGCGCTATCCGCACGTTCCCGCGTACTTGCTGAGCAATCTGCAGAAGTCCCTCTTTGGCGTGTCATCCGCTCAGCCATCATCACTTTCGCCGTCCGGTGTTGCCGCCAGCCATCCGCTGAACCTAGGACCGGCGGCCGCATCAGGAGTGCCATCAGCTTCACTGCCGTCAGCCTTCAGCGTAGACCGCCTGCTGGCGGCGAACAGCAGCCTGAGCCTGAGCGACTGCCTGGCGGCCACTGCTGCCGTCACCGGCGGACAGGGAGCCATTAGAGCAGCGGCTGCTGCCAATGCCTCTTCCACGCCCTCGAACCTGTCTCCGACGCCAGCCTGTGTGGCGACAACCACCAGCACGCCCTCATCATCCGCCTCATCCTCCAGTTCATCCTGCCTGTCCACTGCCAGCACTGCCACAGGCGGAATGTCCGCTGCCCTTCAGCAGCACTTTAACCAGCACCAGCACCAGCACTCTAACCACACCAACTCTACATCACCACTGCTGAATGGAACCTCCTCTGCCTACCATGGCACTGGCACTCCCTCGTCGTACCTGCTGAGTCAGGCAGCCACGAACCACAGCTATCACATGCTGCAGGAGATGTACGACTTGCAGGGCAGTCTTCAGGCGGCCGCTCTCAAGTCGCTGGCTGCGGCGAGTTTGCATTCACAGCAACAGCAGCAGCAGCAGCAATCACGGTCTGCCGTCCGCAGTCCTCCCGGCACTCCTTTCAAGCCAGTCGGCTCCCCCTTTGCTGAGATGACCCATTTGAAGAAGTAAACAGTCTTGCTTGTGATCCAACTATCCTCCCATCATTTCATCTTCACACCGTAGTCATATTTCCTTTGTGTAGATAGTTACTGTATTTATAGCACTCCTGTACCATATTGTTATTTTCAATTAGAAAAAACTAATCAAAATCTTCATTGTTTCTCAACTTTTGCTTTTTTTCTTTCTGATAAACGCNAATCACGGTCTGCCGTCCGCAGTCCTCCCGGCACTCCTTTCAAGCCAGTCGGCTCCCCCTTTGCTGAGATGACCCATTTGAAGAAGTAAACAGTCTTGCTTGTGATCCAACTATCCTCCCATCATTTCATCTTCACACCGTAGTCATATTTCCTTTGTGTAGATAGTTACTGTATTTATAGCACTCCTGTACCATATTGTTATTTTCAATTAGAAAAAACTAATCAAAATCTTCATTGTTTCTCAACTTTTGCTTTTTTTCTTTCTGATAAACGCCCATTTACTCACATGATGAGACATATTTTTGTGCCTAATCATCATCTGAATGCACTGGTCAACTCAGTTTGTATTTTTATTGACTAAATATTGTCAAGTTTACAAAAACAAAAATTACAATGAATTTGTGGCGGTATAAAATCAGTTGGTATGAAAACATGAATTCCACAATGAATAGGTATTTTGAGTCAAGAGTAGTACATGGGATAAACAAAGGTTCTTCTAATGGTCAGACAGAAAGTTTGACAATA